TGCCCGTTGCTTTATGTACATAACTTCTAATCTTCACAGTAGTCCTCCAAGTTAGGTGTTATTAGCCCACGTTAGAGTTAAGGAATAATATTCCCGATGTCATAGAGCTAATGCAGATCAATTCAAATCTGGATCTTTTACATTGTAAAATGCATTATTTCTACTCCTCTGTTTGAGTCTCCCCTTAGGGAATGAGTGATTCCCAGAACTCCTGGAGAGTCTAAGCTTTCTGCATGTGGGTTATAGAGTTTATAGAGTCATTCTTGTTGGGTTTTTCGTTCTTTTTGCTTTCTTCGCTGGTATTCACACTGAACTTAGAAGGATGCTTTGGTAGGGCTGGGACTTGATCCATTTTGTTACTTCTGTACCTCAGTACCTGAAACTCAGCAGTACCTGGCACCTGGTCGATGCTCAATGATTATTTGTTGAATGAATGAATGGATGGATGAAAACTATGGTAGTTTGGACTGGCCATTCATACTTATGTGTGATATGTGATAGAAATATCATATTATGCATTTTGAGGTCAGCTAAATACATGTTCATTTCACTATTAATCGACTATGTGTATGTAACCCTTTGAAAACCAAGAATGCATTCTTAGGATCATGAAATAGTTCGTGTAGACAATAGGAAAGGTAATGACATAGAAGTGATTATTACTCCAAAGTGGTATTTTGATACCAACAGGAGTGAACATAGTGCCAACCATATGGTAGGGACTCAATTGCATGTTTGAAGAGTCCAATGCTTTGAACTATTTTAAGCACACTATTTTGTATCTCATAGGATTGGGTCAGATTTTTCATTCTTGTTCACCAGCTGGCCCTATGCTCTAATGTGTCATGTACTTCATCTCATCCTCCTGAATAGAGTGTTTGTCTGTGTGGGATTAACCATGTCTGCCACTTTTCTGTGTCCCTCCCAGAGGCGGGCCACATGCTGACCTGCTTGGGCCAGAGTTATGGGCTTCCATGTGGTGTCACCAGCCAGCTCATCTCTGCAGGGCTTTTCTCGAGATGAAAATCCTCCAGTGGGACATCACTGTCAGGGCAGTGATTCTGCTAAATGACACCTAGTGGAGTAACCGTTTAAATTTTATAAGTTATTAATTCTTGTTCTGGATGAGTTAGCACATGAACTACGTCAAGAGCTTGCTGGGAGCAGGTGGGGAAAGTCACAGCTCTCTGCACACTGGAGGGGTGAGTATGAGGGAGGGCTGGGCTGTGTGAAGTTCCAGAAGGGCCTTTGGAAGGGGTGAGGAATGTTTGATTTGGTGGTGGATTATGTGAACAATTAGTGTTCAGTTATTACTTCAAAAGTAGTAGTATGCTGTTAGTGAGAACTGACTTTAGCAAGGTGATCAGCATACTTTAGCAGTGAAGTCTGTTTCATCTCTGATTTTAAGCTTGCATTCCATGAATTTCTTTTTTTTTATTCTCACTTGGAAACTTCATTGAGCTGAACTGAAACCACTACTCTTCCAAATATGTTATAACTTGTTATAAACATTTGGGCTGTCATTTTTCTGAACTCCACAATGAGGAGATTTTTTTCTGTATGGCTAAAGTTGCAGTTTTGTCATGCTTGACTTCAGAGTGTTAAGTTTGAGTGATACAGCAGGATTATTTTGCTTGGCTTATGAGAATGGTGGTTTTTCTCCCCACCGCCAGAAGTTAGAGTCCCCATGCCAGAGCACGTATTGTAATTACCGTAGTGTTCTCAAGTTCTGAGCCTGCCTGGCCTCATCTGTGAATACCATAGCAGACAGTGGTCTTGAAGTCTCCTCTGAGCTCTGTATGGCTTGTTCTGTGCCACTGACCTGGGGAGAAATGATACCTGGCCTGTCACCCATTAAGAAACCAGCTGTGACACAGGGAGCATCCTGATCAGACCTGGAATTAAGCCTTGGCTTAATGGAAGGAAACATATGACAGCCCTTTCTTCATGTCACGGTTGGTGTGTACCTTTCATAGGGAGAGTGTGAGATGTAATGCCTGTTTGGCTTCCCCAGAGAAGAGTCACCTGCCCTTTCCCGCTCTGGCCTTGAGAGCAGGAAGAGTAAAGAGGCACAGAGATTGCAGGCAGAGGATGAGGGCACCTCCGCCCAGGGTCATTTTTCGTCCCGTGTTCCTGCAGCAAGTGGACAGTGCTGAGGGGCGACTCACATTGGGGCTGTGTGTGAGTCTCCTGTGACTTCACCTCTCCCGGGAACACCAGCCTGGAGGATGTTAAAGGCTCAAATTCGTTTTCACAAATTGTGTTTCAAAATTACAAAAGTTAAAAAAGCAAACCAACAAAAATGGGCTCAATGCAGAAAACGTAGAAGAAAACATCCACACACACACACTATATGTGTGTGTATATGTATATATAGCTCATTGGCATTATTTGATAGTAACAAAATATTGGAGTATATTCTTTTATGTTTTCTATGCCTACACATTTTCCCTCCAAGATGGTATTATATTGCTCTCCTCACCTAATGACGTATGGTATTAATATGTCTGTTTCCATGTCAATAAAACATTCATGTGATTTTTTGATGGTAGCATAGTATTTCACCATCTAGATGTACTGCAGTATTATTTGCCATAGCAGACGCTCCATTACTGGAATCCCTCTCTTAGAGTCTGCGACATCCCCATTACATTACAGCACAGAACCCTAACCTGCAGTTAGTCGGGGATTGTCCTCCTGCAAGCATGTCCCTGCACTTGAGAGCAGGATGTCAGTCTGTAAGGAACAGCAGTCTTGTGTTATTTCATTCCAAACAGGAAAGCAAGCTTTATACTTTTTACTTGTGGTGGTGTACAAACCCCTACTCACGGATTTTAATGCTAAAAGCGGGTCTTAAAGAAAACTGGTCCGGTAGGTGAGTCTGAGTGCTGGGTGTTAAGGGAACAAAGTAGGAATTTGTGGTGCTGACGTCAGAGGCCAGGGGATCGGTTTCCTGGTGTTGTCTCGCCGGCACGTAGGCGCTGCACGCACACTGCGTGTCAGTCGCTGCTTTTCTGTGGGACTGTGTGTTAGTTTTTGGATGTCAACTGTGTCCATAATGTCTTAGGATGATGTATTTGCCCTCATTTTGATATGCACAAGTCCTCAAAAAATTACTAGCACATTTGTTATTTAGCCCTTTTTATAACAAGACCCTAGTTAAGCAGGAAAACCCTTCTCAAAGAGTCATTTTCACCATGCACTTTCTCATCTAATTTTATCTCGTACAAATTGAAGCCAGTTTGGAATATTGAGTGTCTCTTTGGCCCATCTTTCTCCTTCCATCAAAACTCCATAATGCCTTTGGCTGTGAAACTACTGTGTAACTTCAGTGGAAGTTATATAATCCAAGAAGGACCAGATAATTAAAGTAGCTTCTGTTTAAGATTCAACAGGTGTTTCTTTCTTTCTTTTTTTTTGAGACACAGTCTCACTCTGTTGCCTGGGCTAGAGTTCCATGGCGTCAGCCTAGCTCACAGCAACCTCAAACTCCTGGGCTCTAGCGAACCTCTTGAGTAGCTGGGACTACAGGCATGTGCCACCATGCCCAGCTAATTTTTTCTATTTATATATATTTTAGTTGTCCAGATAATTTCTATTTTTAGTAGAGATGGGGTATCACTCTTGCCCAGGCTGGTCCCGAACTCTTGACCTTGAGCGATTCGCCTGCCTCGGCCAACAGGTGTTTCTTTAATCTAGTTGCCAGTGGGAAGTTAGAGTCTAGTTAGGAAGCGGTTGGCTGGTAATGGGAGAACTGCCTCACTTCAGAGGGTTGCTGAGTGGATAAGGAATTAGGTGTAGCCTCCGTCCTCATTTCTCTTATCATTTTATCTTTGACTTGATGAGCTATTAAAGCTAAGGCTAGGCCCCATCTACTTTTTATGGGTGTTGATTAAGATTCTCTGCGAGTTTATTGAAATAATTTGATCCCCAAAAAGTTTTTATTCTGATGCTGTAAACTGATCTGAAGGCCATTCAGACTTTCCGGGAATTTTGATCTCTTTCCTCCCCTAACTTAATTTTTCTGTTTTGGTTAACCATTCTTTTCCCATGGAATCAGGTTGTTTTTTTTTTTTTTAAACTGGAAAAACTCTTCTATGATGGGATTCTAAGTTGTTTACATCATATTGACAAGTCTCAACCCTTGGAGATTGTCCTAAGGCAGGGATTGCAAAACCAAATGCCTGTGGGGGTAGAAAAGTGCGACAGTGAGTGTCGGGAGAGCCCAGTGTGTGGGGGAGGGTCACACTGGAGAGCTGGAGCCCCAGGTCCCATCTGAAGGGGCCACAGCTGCTGGGCTCCAGCGATCATGACCATTGGGGTGTGAGCCTTGTGTTGCCAGATGATCTTATTTCTCAAGAGAAGCTGAAAACAGGGATTTGTTTTTTCCTTTGTGATGGGTGTTTGAAATCTCTTGAGTTTTATAGGTTGGCTTAAATTTAAAAAATGAAAAAGTATTAAACAAAACACACCTGTGGCCTGTATTAGGCCCACAAATGGCTGATTTGCAGCTTTTGCTCTAAGGGATACATTTTGCCTGTTTAGAAAATAACAATCTTAGGCAGGATACAAGGATGCTGGTGCGGCCCAACCAGTTGAGGTAACCTATTTTAATCACCTTTACCTGGAAAATATCACTTACTAAACTGTAGGGCTTAGATGAGTCTGCTGTGACGAGTAACTCTCTTTAATTGTACATGATCACTCTGTCCTTCTATTTTGTGTATCTTGGGTGCAGAGCAGACTTTTCAAAAGAAAATGGAGGGTTTTTTAGGCTAATAGATCTCCAGCCAAGTGTCTAATTTTTACGTTTGACTTTTTAAAACTTCTAAATAGCACTGTTTTCAATCTTACCAAAAGGCTCTATTAACACAGTAACTATAGCTTTCTGAAATCCTTGAATGTATTTGCAATTTAAGGTTGAAAAAATGAAAATTAATCTTGACTCTCATTATCAGATGGTTTATTCATGTAATTTCTTTTTTTTTTTTTCTTTAAAGATTTGAACATGGAATTCAATCCTTCAGATCATCCTCGGGCCAGCACAATATTCCTCAGTAAATCTCAGACAGACGGTAGGTTCCTAATTTATGTTTCTTTAAAAAAAGAGAAAGAAAAAAAGGCTCATGTTGGTAATTAGCCTAAGTCTTGATTTTTTCACTAGATTTGGCTTTCCAGATGAAATTAGAATCCCCTTTAGTGACCCTCAAGTATACAGTTTAATGGTGGTTCCCTTGGATTGTTTCTTCTTTTGTAATTAGTAATGTTTATAGAATTTCCTATTTGAAGCAGCTGTCCTCATTTTGCCAGTCAGCTATATTCTGTACATATTCTGTAAGTTTCTACCCTGAGTCAGAAATTTTCCTTTAAGAATTGATGTTTGTATAATTTCTCAAAAGATCAGAAGTATTTGTTAACGATATATAAAAGAAAGCAAAATATGATCCTTAAATAAAAGTACTGTTAACTAGCTCTGTTGTGTTGTTGAAGAGATGAGTTGAACCCGTACACTAGATAATGTTTTCTTTTTCACAACACTTGCAATAACCAGCTTATTCTTAAAGATCCCGTGATCTTTGTGGTTCATGTCAGGTGTATGTGGGATTTCTCCTAGAGGTTTTTGTCTCTTTTCAGCCCCTGAAGTATCTCACTGTCCCTGGCCCTTGGCTAGAGATACGATGGAACTTATACAACACAGTGAGCACACATTTTCTTAGTTGGATTCCAGTAGAAAAGTGTGGCAGGAGGAATTTGTAAATGGTGACATAGTGATCAGGATGTTATTTTAAGATGCCAGAGCCCTACAAAATTCTATACCTGACTCTTTTGGCAAATCGCTAAGCTCTAATTTAGAGAAGATCCCAAATTGAATAGAAATATAGCCAGACATGTTTAAGACAGTAAGTTCATATATAAGAATCGATAGCTCTTCAATAATGATAATTTTGGCAAGGTTTAATGCTTATGTCATATTGGTGATCTGTAACTAAGCAGGCCCCTGACTTGATTTGAAAGACTTTGAAGTACGTTTTAAATGTGTTTCTGGTACAAAAAAACCGTTTTCCCCAGGTGAAGCAGGAAGCCATTGGGAGGGGTAGGCTAATTACTAGGGAAGGAGAGTGCCAGTGAGGATGAGGGTTTGAGGGGTAGGGAACCTGCAGCCTCAGGGCCCCTCAGCTGAATCCAAACTTCACGGAACAAATCCCTTCATTAAAAAGATTCGTTCTGTAAAATTTGTATTTAGTCAAAAGGCTGCACTCGGGGATCCAGAAGGCCACATGTGGCCCCAAGGCTGCAGGTTTCCCACCCCTTTATGCAGACGCTTTATGCTGTGAAAACAAGTTACAAGTTTGGCTTACTTTTAGGGTTGGTTCTTGCTTCCTGTGAACTTAGGGTACAGACCAACTTCATTCAGATGTTCTGACCAGATTCCTATGAAATTGCATCAGAGCCTCTGAGTGGATGACACACCTCGATTGTCATGGTGAAAGGAAACTTGACCTAGGGCGGGATTGCCCCAGACACAGCTTAGGGGACTCTGGCTTCCTCTTTCCCTTTGCTCTAGGAGTCACTCCCCTTCCTCTTCCGGGACACCAGGGCAACTCCTCTGTCTGTTGCTTCACTTTTTTCTTAAATGCTGCATCTTCCCACTCAACATGTGCACAGACTTGAGTCTCACAGGTAGAAAATGAGAAAAGGGAAAATAACCGGCACCTCGGCCGGTTTTTCTTTTTTCCCTTTTTTTTGTTGCCGGTTTTTGCCCCGGGGCGGCCTTTTTTCGGCCCCCTTGGGTTGGCCTTCCACCCTGCCATCGTGTGGTGCACACGTGGTAGTTACCCGAGGACATCTTCCCTCACTTGGCTCTTGCCTACTTGTGTGGCGCTTGCTGTCACCGACTGCTCCACATTTCTTAGAACTTCTCTTTTGGCTTCCTATTTTCCAGCAGGCCAACTTGCTGGAAACCAGTGCATCTAATAAACAATTGCTTTATGGATAATTACATAGGTTTTTAAAATAAATAGATTTGGTAACATCAATAAATGAATGCTTTGGTGACATGGTTGTCAGAGCACTGGGTATTTGGCAAGTCGGGCTTTTGGCAGATGGGTCCTGAGAAATGCTGCCTTGCTGTAAGCTCCTATCCGACATAAATAAGCCACCTCCATTCATCCCTTTATCCACTATTTCCCGGGGTCTGTTCTTTACCCTCTTAGTTTTTTGTTCTACACAGTTCCTCGTGGCTTTCATGTCAACTGTCAAGTCTCATCAGATTTTTCTTTGTGCTCTTCAAAACCCAAGTATCCACCTGCCGCTGGACAGGTTTGCCACGGAGGCTGTGTAGGTTCCTCTGACCCAGTATGCGTGAGACAGAACCCAGGAACTCCAGCCACCTTTCTGCATTCCTACCCTGCCTGGGTCTCCAAGCCAGGGGAGGCTTTGGGATTTTCCTCCTCTCTTCCCCCTTCTCAGTTCTCAACAGTCGGGCAGTGGTGCCAGGGCGCGCTTCATGCTGGCCCGGGAGAGTGGCTGTGCACGTTTCATCCCAGCTCCAGTCACATCACCTTGGGGTGCCTGCACAGAAGACATATACCAGTCCAGCTGGTTGAAAGAAGGAAAAATGACAATGCCAGGAAACGTTCTGGATTTGATTGTGATAATTCTTCATTCGGATAAACTTACATTTCCATTGCAAGACCCCTGTACTAGAACAGTTCATAAATGTGGGTCTTACACACCCTAATTTTTTTCTAATTGGAGGAAATGTTGTAGTCTGAGACAGTAAGGCACATAGTACCCTTTCTGATTCTTTTGAGTCTGGTGGTTGCTCCTCTTTCCTTCAGGTGGATGTACTCCGAGAGTAGTGCAGACTAAGTTGGGATGATGACAGTCACATTAGGGCAGCTGCTGCTTGGGACCATAGCCATGGAGCGTTTCGACCTTTACAGCCTCCTCTTCTCTCAGACCCCTCACACTCTTTCTTCTCCAGTGCTGATGGTCTGACAAACAGGCTGTCGGCCACGCACCCACCTGCCACACCTGGTCAGTTGCCTGATTCAGGTGGTACCTGCTGCATTAAGTCATTAGAATTTCTTGCTGAATTCCCTTTCCCTCTGGATATCAAAGAGATTCAGGCTGGACTTGGAATTTTCTTCTCATTGTGCATCAGGAAGCTGGAAACTCCAGCAAAACTGAATGGTAATAGAGTGCTGCTCATTAGGTCCATCGAGTGGCTGAAGGTAGGGCTTTTATAGTGACTGCTGTCTCATTTCTTCACACAGATGGGCTGCCATTCAACAAAGGGACCAAGGGTTCCTCATGGGGGTAGAGGAAATTGCCAGGCAAGAGAGAAGTTAGATCGCTAGGCTGGCCTTGGCTTTTCATGCTATCATTTTTACTTGTGTGGAAGAATTGTAGTTCTTGGTGTCTTTGGCTTTTTTATACCTATTTCAGTTCATTGTTTTCAAAGATACAAGAGCCTCCTCTTTAAGACAAAACAGCCAACCTACATATTTTTCTCTGTTAATTAGTATGGTTTTTAGAGGTTCCTTACCTTAGCAAAGAATTTGGACAAAAATATAATCCTCTGTGTGTGTGTGCGTGCGCACGCACACGTGCAATCTGTGTTTCTCAAGAATCTCTTGAAATAATGAAAGGGATAAAAACTATTTGTCCCTTGAGAGGCTTGAAACCAAAGTAGGAACATTAAATTTCAGAAATAAAACTATGAGCCATGGTTTTCTTTGCACATCCTTTTAGAAATACTGACGTTGAAAAGTGTTTTGTGGCCGTCCTCTGTTTAGCTCACGTTTTTGTTCCTGGGCAGTGTTGAACTTGTGGCATCGCAAGACGACCAGCCTTTTTGGACTCCTTTTGTCTGGCATTTGGGAGCAGCTACCCCTGCGCCTTGCTGGGTCTCTTCCCTCAGGGTGCTCCCGTGGCCTTCCTGCCATCGCCTCAGCTACGTCTCCCCAGCTCTGCATCACCTGCGAGGGTGCTGGGTGCTGGAATGCCCCTTTTTTCCAGCTGCCACTCAGGCCCTGTGTGCCTCTTCCCAGCGCTCATCAGCGACCCTGCCCGCTGCCCACCCAGCAGCTGCTTGTGGGTGACGTTTCCCACTTTCCACTGATTCCCGACAGGCCCCTTTCCCCAGCTGCGTGACATCTCTGAAGTCAGCGCAGTCAATGACTTGCCAAAATTTAATTGGCAGCATTTTTTTTTTGTTTCTTAGTGGCTCATAGAGTAATGGTGCACCAGAACATCAGTGACATTAAATTCAGTGCACTTCCTATGTGCCTCCATACTACTGATTATTACGTGATTATTTTTATGGTCTATGAGTAAGGAAATAATGTGTGTTTTCCTAGATTGCATGTTGCTTGAGGATGGGATGCCTTCCTCACTTCGCAGTCTCTGTACCCAGTGCAGTGACTAGTACATAGAAGAAACTTACAAAGACAAGGGAATGAAGGCAGGTCGTTGTGCTCTGTCCTGGGCAGATGTGCTGTGGCACTGTGACAGTCTTCACTGATGAACAGCTTTGTTTTGTGCTGCAACTTCGCTTTCTTCTGTCTGCCCTAATTTTGTTAAAAAAGGACACATCCATTATTTGGGGCAGGAGGATGTAGATTTTTTTTTAGGCCTACTGGTGTTTTGGGGCTTCCTCTGTCTGGGTCTGGACTTGACATGACTGTCCCATCCTGAGGCCAGACCTCCCCTCTGCAGTCATCTCTGGAGGTGCACGAGGCAGGGGCGTGTGCAGGGTCTCTTGTCCAGAACCCCGCCCAGTAAAAGGGACGAGAGAGGCCCTTGTTGGGTGCCGCGGCTGGCTTGGGAGCCTCACCCCACTGCAGTGTCTGATGTCTTGGTCCTTCCGGTGTGGAGAAAGCTGCTGGTGCAGGACAAAGTCAGGTGAAATCAATTAGACTCAGAATGTCAGCCTTTCTTGCTATCCTTTTTCCTGTATCCTCTTTCCTGGGCTGTGCTGTCCTCAGATTCAGAAATCAGAATATTGCTCAGTGAGCGCAGATCCAGAACAGCGGTTCCAGTGGTAACTCCACCAGGCTGGGAGGCTTGA